TATATGAATCTTTTAAACTAGGACATTTGCATTTAGTTTAAATGTAGGCTAGTGTAAGGGAAATTTATTTTCTTGCCCCTGAAATACATTTTGAAATATATTTTTGTATGTGAAAGTTGAAACTAAATACATTTTAAATTTCAAACATTTCAATTATCTTTACTGTTTACAACATACTGTATATTTAGCATATATTTTAAATATATGTGGACGAGAACATTTTGCTGTATGGGGTTACTGGCACAGTAATGAATGGCAGGAAAACATTCTGTTGTAAATGTATGATGTGTCTGCTGTGTGTTTCTGTTTATAAGCAGCCCCGCTGTGCCTCATCTGTACCCCACTGATGGAAACCCTGTTTAGCATGACTGCTCAAAGGGGAATCTGGCTCAAAACGTTTCATTTTCGGTGGACACAATAAGGATGGCAGCACCCACCGAGCTGCTTGTCTGTGATAGAGGCTTTTGAGAAGGGGTTTATTGAAAGACCAACGCGTGGGCACTATCCTGCCATCCATGAAAAGCCATTGGCTCATATAATCAATTCTACTCAACATTCATAAAATCTAGCAGTGTGTGCCGGTGATAGACGTCACTCTGGCTTTGTTTTTCTTTTTTTGTAGAACTGATGGAGGGAGAAAAGACATGAGGAATGACTGGTATTTTCATGCCCTTTATACAGAACACACACAACCAGGAATTTACAGACTGATTTTTCTCTATGCCATTGTCTCCATTATCTCTACTCTGAGCTTTTTCTAACACTCTTTTTCAACTTCCCAAAGAGTATTCTTTTTCCATTTGTATCTTTCTCATCTTTCACTGGTTCTTAACAGTTTTATCTGCCATTACGTTTGGTAGTAGCTACTATTTGTTTGTTTGTTTGTTTGCTTGTCCTCAGATCCAAAACTCAATAATTTATAATAATAACTATAAATATAGATTATTACTACACACTGAAGAGTTTAATCTTAAATAATAAAAACTATTTTAAACTTTTTGTCAGATATTTATTCATAATCTTCACAATGTGTGATATGCAAAATATGATAATAACTTTTAAAAGTGCATACAATTTTATATTTCACTTTGTTTTGTCCTGTTCGAGAACCAGTAATCTAAATATTTGTCCAAGTTTGAGTTTAGAGACCTTCTGAATCAAATCTTTCGTAGGTTATAGTGGTGCAGTAATTCTTTCAGACACATTGCCGCACCCTAAAATTGTCTTGATAGCACTGATCACTTTGCCTATTTGCCTTTACATGCAAGCATTAGCATAGATTTACCTTCCGAATCAATATTATTTAACTTTTATATTCATATTTAAAAACTGCTGAGCTAGACAGCTTCCTCATGTTGGTCACCACTTTTCTTCAAAATACAGCTGAAAGAGAACCAACTCTTCTGTTCATGTTGCGCAAGCCACTGTAAGCAGTATTATTAGCCTAAAAAGCATTCATGTATGCAGAAGTGTCATGCCCTTTCAAACTGACACGTGCCACCTCTGATTTTTGAGTCATTTGGGAAAATATGTATCCTTAAAATTTAAGTAAATAATGACCGCTATAGTAAAGAACGTGTTTATGTAGAATGCTGATATCACCCATTCACAAGCGTAAATATTGTCAGTATTTAATTCAACCTGAAAATTGCTATCTGAGGGTCAAGATACCAATGAGGTAATGTTGGTTGCTTGAAACTCATTTAACGGGAATGAATTTCACATTTCCAGTTCTGTTTTCATTTTCTTAATGCATGATTGTTTCGTGTCATGGATGTGGAGGTTGTACTGAAGTTGACTGTGAAATGCTGCTTATCACAAGTCTTAAAGGGATATTTGACCCAAAACGAATTTAAATTGTCATTTACTTACCCCCTGCTGAAAAAAAAAACAGCTAAAATCAGCCTAAGCAGGTTGGCTGGTCTTAGTTGTTTTAAGCTGGGTTTTAGCTGGTCTCTCAGCCTGGCCAGCTAAGGAAGTGGCCAAAACCCCTCTAAAACCAGCTTTGACCAGCTAAGACCAGGCTGGATGACCAGCTAAAACCAGCCAACCAGCTTAGGCTGGTTTTTTTGTGGTTCCAAACCCTTATGACTTTTTTTCATTCTATGGAACACAGGTTTTAAAGAATGTTAATGCAATTAAAATTTGTTGTCATGTCGAACCCAAAATCATAAAATTGCTTTATGCGCTGTATTTCGAGTCTTCTGAAGTCATACAATAGCTCTGTGAGAAACAGGCAGAAATTTTAGTCGTATTTATCATAGTCTTGAAAATCTTTTTCTCTGGTGAGGTTTTAACAGCTGTGACCGGATCATTGAATCAGTGAGTTCGAGCACTTGCCTGGAACAGTTCTAATCGTGAATGAATCATTCAGACCGTTTCTGTGAATTGGATCAACCGAATCATTAGAAAGATCCAAATAATGGCTGAATCAGAACTGCACACTGTTCTTACTTTTACTATAACTCTATATGGCAGAATAGTACAATTGTAGCATATGTTTCTGAATTAAGTTAATGTTTGTTCATAAATCACAAATATTTGTGAACTCTTATGAACATTCCAATGAGATGTAGTGGTGAAAGGAGTATGTAAATTAAAAAAAAATAGCTATGACTTCAAAAAACTTTGAAATATAGTAGTACACATGAACCACTTTTATAATGTTTTTTTTGTTTGTTTGTTTTTTTTTAGCCCTGACATCTTCAGTTACAATTCATTGCCATTACATTCTTTAAAGTCATTTCATTTTCAAGTCCTGCGAGATGAAACAACATAAGGGTGAATTTAATTTTTGGGCGAACTATCCCTTCATGGCAGATTTACGTAAAACAGAAATCAAACATGCGTATTGTTTAATTAGAATGTAATCATAATTGTTTGTCACATTAAAATCTTAATTTAGAGAGATAATTAAGAAACATTGTAGCAAATGAGAAATAGTAAAAAAAAAAAAGTAGCATCTTTGCTTTCATATTATAGAATGTTGTTTGACCTGAGTGGGTTTGCCGTGGGCTGCAATGTTTCTGAAATTATTTGCTGTGATATGGAATCCACTTTCAAAGTCACCTTCAAACCATGACTATCTCACAGTCCTTAATTTCCTGTCCTGACCATGGCCTCTCACTGAATGTGAAGTTGGAGTTACCGAGTTTACACATTATATGAGTCAAAACAACTAAAAGACTGTTATGCAGCATTACTTCTGATTGCCTAGAAGAACAGCTAAATGACATACCCTTCCTTTATTTTAAATGTTAAATAAGATTATAACATTCTAGTCTAAGGTAATTACACTGGACAAATGCATAGTTTGTCAAACAAGCAACTAGTGCCAATTTGCCAGCTGAGTGGATGGCATGCTTCACTGGCTTCAATTGTGTTGTCTAAAAAGACCTGCTCTTCACAGAGAATGGACTGTGACTAAATCCAAATGTAATCCTTCTCAACAGAGTTTGTGTAGTCAGATCACCACTTTTAATTTTGATTTCCATGCTATATATCACAGGGATTATTCATTCCAGATAAATCACACATGATGTTCCAAAACAGATTTTGAAAAAAAATCACTTGTTGGGTTTGTGCTTCCTCAGAAATAGGCCTAATCTTAGTAATTTTCATGGTTCAGCAGCATCCTTTACAAAGCTTCCTCTTTTCTCTCAGTGTTGAAGAGTGTAACAGGATGCTCCCATTTATTTTCTCCAAAAGGGAATATATTTTTAACAATAACACCTTTAAAGACAGACTTATTGCGAACTACAAGGTTGATGGTGTATGGTTTTGTTGAAGCTATCAGCCTGCATAATTTGGCCTATTTTTATTTTTTTTAATAATCATGTTCAACTGCAGAATTCGAATTGCTTCAGTCTGCTCTTAGTTTATGAATCTATGAAAACCATTCACTTAAATATTTGCATGAGTATTATGCAACAAATTAAAGCCATTACACAGTCTTGTACCAGTTTTCAAATACTTTTTTGCTTCAAATTAAGGTTTGTAATGTCATTCACCTCGTAGCTGTTAGTTTGGTTAATTGCTCATAACTCTCAGGGCTTTTTAAAAATCCCTATGGGGATGGAAAAAGTAGATGGGCACTGTTGCACTCCACTGGCATCGTCTCAGAGTTGTTTAAAGATGTACTTTTTTTTTCCACAGCTATAAAAGAGTGGTGACTCCAAAGCGTGCAGGCATTGCAGTGATTGTGTGCTGGATGGTGGCCATCGTAGTCGGCCTGATGCCCATGTTGGGCTGGAACAATCTGGAGAAGCTACGACAGACCAACGGCACCGTGGGTGCTGACCTTCTTGTAACCTGTGAGTTCGAGAACGTCATCAGCATGGAATACATGGTCTACTTCAACTTCTTCGGATGGGTCCTGCCACCTCTCGTCCTCATGTTGCTCATCTACGCTGAGATCTTCTACATGATCCACAAGCACCTCAACAAGAAGGTCACCACCAACCAGACCGACCCCACTCGATATTACGGGAAAGAACTCAAGCTGGCGAAATCTCTCGCGCTGGTGCTCTTCTTGTTCGCAGTCAGCTGGTTGCCGTTGCATATCCTGAATTGCATCACTCTCTTCTGCCCTAGTTGTGAAAATTCAGTGACAATTCTTTACGTGGCAATCTTGCTCAGTCATGGTAACTCCGTTGTCAATCCCATTGTGTATGCATTCCGCATTAAGAAATTCCAGAATGCTTTCGTTAAGATCTGGAAACAGTATGTGTGTTGCACGGAGGATCCACATCTGCACGGTCGGCCCAGCTTTCGCATAGATAGCAAAGAGAGAAGATTGGGGGGCAATGACATCTGACATTTTTAAAAATATGACAGTAGTCTACTAGGAAAATGCCTGGGATGTATGCTGTCAGTTGTGAGAATACATTTGCCACAGAAATGGAGACGATCGAACATTACTGGAAATGTTTCCTTGAAAACTCAGTCAATGGTGCATAATAATGAATTGCATCGTTAGTGAGGGACCATTAAATAAATGAAAGTGGCCTGTTTTAGAGGAATAGCCACAGTTCAACCGGCATTCACATCTGTGGGAAAAATCTTTGATTATGATTTCCTTTTGTGCTGTGGTTCATTCAAATGCGGCTATAACATAAAGGGCTTCATATAATGAGTGCAAAACTGCAGACTCGTAAATGTCAGTGCTTATGAGTACACTAAACCACACTCGTCTTTAGTCAGTAGCGTAAACGCGTCTGAGGACTTTGAGAAAAGACATTGAGGATGTGATCTGAGGTCATTTTTATATGCCAGTGAATTCATGTTTGAGAAGTATGGGATTTGTAATTTGCTGCTTTTCAGGATGAGCGCAAATCGGAGGCAACAGGCCCACTTCGTCTTCAAGGGACAGTTTATAAAAATAAAAAATTCGGTCATTTACACACCCTTGTGTCATTCCAAACCTGTATGAAAAGATATTTTTAAAAATGTCTATAGAATGAAAGTCAGTGGGTTTCAGAATTGTTTTGGACCGCATTGACTTTTATTCTAAACAGCTGAAACATTCATGAAAATATGTTTGTTTAGCAGAAGAAAGTCATACAGGTTTGAATATAAGATGACAGAACTTTCATTTTTGAGTGAACTATCCCTTTAAGCAGAACTTTGCGTAATCCTATTGGTCCAATATCAGCAATGTTGCTTTTGCCATATTAGAAAACCTCTTAATTTTTTTACTTAATTTTTTTAGATGTTTCAGTCTCAGTGAAATAATTTGCCATATTAATACTCATCCCTACTGTATGTTTAACTGAATAACCACTGGAAATTGACGATGTGTTTTCATATTAGTTTTTGTAAGAATAGCACATTTTTGTGGGGAAATAAGCAATGCAGCCTTCGATTTCACTGCATGATTTTGAAATTAAACAAATTGTAGGCGGTTTGCATTTAATATTTAGATTGCTCAAAACTGTGGGCCTGAGAAAAGATGTGAAAAGATAGACAGGAAGGAACCATGAATAAATCAAGATTGAGTGATACTGCCAGAGGCCTAATGTTTTTTTTTTATTATTATTATTATTATGCGTTGTTAAAATAAATGATGCATAACCTGTTAGGACAATTGCAGTTGAGTCTTTCAAATGTTCAGGCCTCTCTTTAAATTTTAATAAGGCAAGGACATTCAGAGCTTCACCGAAATTGACAATTTCTCAAGTATATTGGAAGAAACTGAAAATTGAGTCACTGAAATTGTGATGTCCTCTGAACGGACCCCGATTTTGACTCGTTATCCTTGAAAATAGGTGGCAGTGAGTAAAGTGTCCTTTGGACAAGGTCTGATAAATGGTTTGACCTTTTCAGTCTGGTCAATCTCAGAAAATGCAATCAATTCACACAATTCTTGTGTGTCGTTTCCTGTGAAACAACCTCTCTCAAACTTCCTGGGTAGATCCTGAAGTAGGATCAAAGCTTACTCGGTGACTCGTGTTTCCGCTTCATCAATGGTATTCAGCTGACCTCTGTTTTTCCTTTAGTGTGTGCCAACTGGAGAATTTAACTAGTTTAAGTTTATACTTAAGGGTATAAACACTCTGGATTCATTATTTTAATATCTAGTTCAAATGACTCACAAGCTGCAACTACCTACATCGATCAGTTGAGGCTCTTAATCTAATAGCTGTTAAAAACTGTAACTTAAAGCTACCCGTAATAGCACACTGAGAAGAATTGTGTATGTTGGGAATAAAGTGTAATCAGATAAAGATATTATCACAGCTTATGGTGGCCACTTCCTCTATGTGTAATTTTGTTTACTGACAACAAAGCCTGCAGAAGCAATGGTTTTATTTGGCCTAAATGATACAAATGTCATTTGAAAAAAAATATTTTTCCACAAATTGCCGTTGTGAATCACTATTGTGTGAACAGCAGTCACCAGATGGTAACTCGGTATTGTGGTGCCCTCTTGTGAAGGTTTGAAAAAGCGCATTATAATAAGAGTTCATCACTAAGAAAAAAGTCACATCAACTAATTTTTATTCAAGTAAAAATAAGCATGCTTATGTTGAATGTTGAATGGCCCAGTCATTATTAGTGAAGTGAAGTCATTAGCGAGTAATTGTTATTGCCTTATTGTTACTAGGATAGAATAAAACCATAAAATTGCTCAATATGTCCACCCCATATTTATTTGATCTCTTGTGAAGGAAGACTAACATTTCACTAATGTTTATTACAACACACGTGTCCCTATGAGACGGATACATTTGTACAAAGTGCTTCATTTTCAAAGGATTTAAAACACACACTTGTGAGTTACATCAGTGATGTAAAGAAATATGACTACAGAATTTGACAACATCATAAGACACACGTCTATTATTTAAAAAAAAAAAATGTTGGTTGAGAATTCCAGCATCAATTGAAACATTCAGCCACAAATATCTGTATTAGAGTAAAAAAATTGTAAAAAATGAAATTCTCAATTTTTCTGGCTGTGATTGTCTAAAAAGAGCACCATTTACAGTTTATCCTGTATTACAAATCAAACTTTAGAGAAATGATTGAGCGTCTCTCAGAGAATGAGACCATGAGCTCCAATCTCAACACATGCTGTTCACAGAGACAGAGACCTGGAAAAGAAAAACAACAACAATTAGACAATCTGTGTGTTTAACAACAGCAAAATAAATCTGGGGAAAAATGAGTCATAATGGTTATAAAAGTATGACTATTTTTTTATTATTATTATTATATTGATTTCTAATTTTATATATATATATATATATATATATATATATATATACACACACAGTGCCTTGCGAGAGTATTCATACCCCTTCATTTATTTCACGTTTTGTTATGTTGCAGCCTTATGTTAAACTGATTTACATTACTT